GAGAGGGAAGGGGCAGGTGGACTCGAGCCCTCAGACTCGGAGGCGGTCTGCAGAGCGCAAGGCTGGGCGACCTCTCCGTTCGGGCCCGAAAAGATGGCCCAGACGCGGAATGAAGGGACAAGGGCAGGTTGCAGCAGGGTCTCATTTATGTTAGAAGAAACACTGACCGCAGCTCCCCACAGCGCCCGGTGATGGCTGCGCTGATGGGGATGGTGGAAACTCATGCGCTCAGTGTACTCTGGGCCGTTGGGTTTCTCACGCCAGAATGCCCTGTGTGTGCGTGTGTCCTTAGGAGACAAACCCAGAGACGGGAAGGGGAGGGCGGCCTGTAGGTGGAAGCTGGACTCCACCTCCAGCGCCTTCGCAGAAAGCCAGTGGGAAGGGACTGCCCAGCGCGACCGCAGGGAGGGGCTCAGAGAGAGAACGTGTGGCCCAGTGACCCGCACTGAGGCCCAGGAGGGCAGAGGAGCCCGCGGTGGAGGCAGGAAGGGGTGGGTCATTAGCCTGTGGTACTTTGGCCGCCAGGCTGCTCTGCCCGGCCAGTTCTCAGACATGCTGTTGTCGTGGTGGCGCAGGAGAGGGGGGCAGGGAGGGAGGAACTGGGGACTCCTGGGGCAGAATAGGTGGGGAGAAATTTGGCCTCCATCCATCCAGCAAACGTGTTGAGGGCTACAGTGGATTGAATTTGTCTGCAAATTCCTCCACACTCTTCCCATTGAGAAGTGGGGTCCCTGTGCCCCCCCCCCGCCTTGAATCTGGGCTGACCTCGACGATGCAGCTGTAACCCACAGACTGTGGTGGGCGTGTTGCTGCCTGACCCCAGAGGCTGGGTCAGAAAAGGCCACCCAGCTTCCTTCTGGCTCTGTTAGGGTGCGTGCTCTGGGAGAGCCAGGCTAGGTCAGCAGTCTGACTACCCTGAAGCTGCCATGGCTGGTGTGCTCAGTGGTTAGAGCCTCACCCCATGCACTGAAGGGTCTTGGGTTCGATTCCCGGTCAAGGGCACATACCTGGGTTGCAGGTTTGATCCCTGGCCCCAGTTGGGGCACGTGCGGGAAGCAATCAAT